AACTGATTCCTCCAATGTTCAACATCGCGGAATAGGATGCATTCTCATTTTGAATGATGTTCGAGATGATAGATTAACTCATGCGAATAGATTTTACGATGATACATTGAATCGATGGATTCTCAAGGTTTTCTTTTGAATTGAAAATTTCATTGATACGATCAATCTTTCGTCTGATATTGGACGCAATGAGCTGATCTACATGCATTCCATCGATTTTCTAGATGTTCATGAGTCGAGACTAGGTTTAAATCTGGTTTAAAATTTGTGAGATACATTCTTCAACAATATCAGGAATTGTATTACATAAATTTACTCAAAACAAATTTAAACATATTTGGCCAAGGGATGTGAGGGTGTTTGACAATAATAGAATGCTGCCCACAACTTCTCACTCTCTATTTTTGAATTAGATCTACTCATAATTTTAATTAGAAAATAAAATGATTAAAGATAATATTTTTACAACTTTATTTGTAAGATAAGTGATAAAACAAACATTTCAGAGATTGATGAGAATATCATTGTGTATTTTATGTGTCGAAATATCTTTTACGAAAGAAAAATGAATATTCTATAGAGAAGACTTTGTAATTTATATTCAAAATTTCAAAAATAAACAAATTTTCTCAGTTCATTTCTTTATTGTGAAAATTCTAAATTAGAAAAATTAAGTTTTTATTGATTTTTATATGATTTAATGTAACATTGAGAAGACATCTCATCTATCGTTTTGTAATTATTTTAGAAATTAATTTATCTAAATATAAGACAAAATAATTTCACATTCAAAGTTTTCTTTTCTAATTAAAATCAATATTTCACACAATTAAAAAGAAACTTTTATAGAATTGTTAATTAAATTTATCATTCGATTATACAAAGTAAGATAAAAGAGTTTTTTCTTCTACAATGAATTAATATTGCTATTAAATATTTATATTTATTTATAGACTTTATATATTTTATAGTTTAGAAATACATTGATTAGAAAAACAATAAATATTAATTTTATATAGAAATTTTATGATTATAATAAAAGATCAATTGAAAAAACCATTTTCTAATTAGAAAATTACTCTTTGTCTTTTATGTAATCGAATATAATTTTGTTTTTGTAAAGAAAATTTTTTTTTATGAATGAAAGTTTTATGAAAATAAGTAAAACAGTTGTTGTTAAAAAATTTAAAGAAGTGAAGAAATTTTTTTAAATTGATTTTATTCGACGAAAACTAAATTTAAAACAAAGAAAATTTTATTTTATTTGTAGAACAAGTCTTAAAGATATGAGTGAATGTCGGTGTGTGTGTCTATGCATATAAAGAAGAAAAATCAACATCCTGTTTAGAATGAACTATGTACTCCAGAAGTAGCTCCAACTTCTACTTTCATTAGAATCGGTTAAATGTCATCGAAAATCTGAATTAACTATTCCGTAGCTCTCAACGAACTACAACTGGTTCACATGTGTGTGATGAATCAAAAAAACGACTTTATCATCTGATGGGTGGAGATTGATTTATATCTGTTTGAAATTCGTAGATTTCTTTCTCTCATATAATTACTTTGCAATCGAATCTTTCAATATTAAACAGTCTTTAAAAAAAATCTAAGATCAGAATGAAAAAAAAGACTATGAAGAAAAGTGAAAATGTATAAACAAGTAATGCTAGTATTGATAGAAGAAAAAAAATTATTCATCCATATAAAAAATAACCTTGTTGATGTGATTTTATTCTTCTCTTTTTCTTATACTTCTCATCTAACTGAGATAATGCTTTCTATTATAAAGAGATCGTCATATATTCAACAAAATCGACTATATACCTATATTGACAATTTACTTCTATCATATGACTTCATTAACTGTTTTTGTCGTATTACAAAAAAATTAATTCAGAAAGACAAAAAATAATGATTTAATGTCTGTACATTCTTTTTCTTTCTTCGTCGAGAATAGGAAGAAAACAGATAAATCACATCATCATATAAAGCCACTCTACAATACACAAACGATGATGAAATAAAACAAATGGCTTGCGAAGGTTATTTTCAAGAGGAAAAATATCATACTTATATTTATTTGTTTTTCTTTCCTTTGTATTTAGGTGCGTTTAATGGATATTTATCCAACGTTTTGTTCGATGATGATCACATGATATATTTTCAAAAGCATTGAAGGAAAGAGTATTATTCTTTCATTTGTCATTTGAAAGATATTCCTGGTGTTTTAATCTACTATGAGTCAATCTGCAACGACAAGTTCAACTAAGTATCGTATAGATTAGATCATTCAGAGATAGAAGGACAAATTCTACGAAAGTCTCAATGAGATTAAATCAATTCTAATAAGCGTTGATGAGTGTGGGTACGAATTAGTAAGAACTCACTAACAAACATACCCTCAATCCACAACTTTTGTCCAACCATCTTATAGATATTACATCAGTTTTATCAGTAATATTTTGTTACAATAAAATTCGTTTTTTAGATTTCTTCTATAAATTTATATTCAACGACATGGCACTAGCAAATAACAAAACAAAATGTTTTACATGTAATGAAAAAAAAATAACATATTGTTGTGAAGGATGTTCAAAACGATTTTGTTTAATTCATTTAACAGAACATCGTCAAATATTAAATAAAGAATTCAAACGTCTTATTAATGATTGTGAACAATTTAAACAAAGAATTAATAAACCAAAACAAAATCGACAATATCTACAAAATCAGTTATTAATAAAACAAATTGATCAATGGGAAAGAAATTCTATTGAAAAAATTAAACAGAAAGCACAAGAAACTAGAAAAATTGTCCTTGATTCATCAGAATTATTTATTAATGAAATTCAAATGAAATTTAATGATTTATCTCAACAAATAAAACACATGGAAAAAGAAAATGAATTTAATGAAATTAATTTAGAATATTTAAGGAATCAGTTAAAAGAAATTACAGAAGAATTAAATAATTCATCAAATATTTCTATTAAAGAAGATTCACAATCATTTGTTAATGAAATTTCAATTATTTCATCAAAAAGTAAGTTTTTTTTTCATAAATAGAATTATATATCAAGAATTTATGGTGATTGTTTTAGAAATCTTTCTTCTTTCTATTGAATAGAATCAAAATTCAACGAATGGATACCGAATGGAATCGCTGTGGCTGGTGGAAATGGACAAGGACAAAAATTAAATCAACTCTATAACCCTAATGGAATCTTTCTTGATAAAAACAAAAATATTTTTATTGTTGATTGTTTTAATCATCGTATTGTTGAATGGAAATATAATGCAAAAGAAGGACAAATCATTGCAGGTGAAAATAAACAAGGAATTCGAATGAATCAATTGACCTATCCAACAGATGTGATTTTTGATCAACAAAATCATTCGATCATCATTGCTGATCAAGGAAACAGACGAGTAATTCAATGGTTAAATCATAATCAACAAATTCTCATTCACAGTAATATTAGCTGTTTGGGCTTGGCAATGGACAAATATGGATTTCTTTATGTTTCTGATCATATAAAGAATGAAGTGAGACGATGGAAGATGGGTGAATATAAAAGTGAAGGAATTGTAGTGGCAGGTGGGAATGGAGAAGGAAATAAACTCAATCAACTTCATGGTCCAGGTTTTATCTCTATTGATAACGATCAATCTATTTATGTATCAGATTGTGGCAATCATCGTGTGATGAAATGGAGAAAAGATCAAAACGAAGGAACAATTGTGGCTGGAGGAAATGGTCAAGGAGCAAATCTCAATCAGTTGTCTTCACCTAAAGGAGTGATTATTGATAATTTGGGTCAAATCTATGTGGCAGATATGTGGAATAATCGAGTAATGCGTTGGTGTGAAGAAAAAGAAGAAGGTGAACTTATTGTTGGTGGAAATGGTGAAGGAAATCAATCAAATCAATTGTTTTGTCCCTATGGTTTATCTTTTGATGACGAAGGAAATCTTTATGTTGCTGAAGCAAGAAATCATCGAATTACAAAATTTGAAATAATATTGTGAATAAAATTTTGATTTTGAAACAAAGAAAAGAACTTTTTTGAAAATATAAAATGGAATAAATAAGTGTTAAATTCTTCGTATTTTGTTGAATTTTTACGAGGAACAGAAAAGTTTTTTTTTTTAATCTGAATTGAATTGAAATAAAAGTTCTTTGAAAAGAAGATTTTATTTTGATAAAATTTGAGAATAATTCAAAAATTGTAAAGAAAAGAAATATTTTATGAAAACTTGATAATAAAAATCGGATTGAAATCGAATTTTGTTGAAAGGTGGGTGTGGGTGTGGGTGTGAGTGTATCATATCTTTCCCATTGACGCCCACCCACAGCCTCAAATTTTCAACAATTGGCGATGTATGGGAGCATCCACTGCCTTTGGACCCTACAATGTCGAAAAGTTTCGCAGCTAGCTATCTATGTTCCTCTAATTGTACTAAATTGATCTCGCTCTTTGATAAAGAACAATAGCTGTTGAGATCTTTGTAATCGTAGCAAATGCTCTCATACGCTAAGCAATGTGATAGAAGCTCAATTAGCCTTTCAAAAGAAAAAAAGCTTTTCTTTACAGTCAAAAGTGTATATAAAGATGATTTGATCTTCTACTTCACAATCTCAAAAAGAAGCGAATCTTAATACTATTGTATTTTTGTTATAGGTTTTCGTGCCTGACAACGTACGCGTATTTCAATAGGATGAGAAAAATGTAGGAGGCATCTTTTTTTTCTCTTCACACACATATTACATGTGTTATTCGTTACCTATGCGACTAGAAAATGTCAATGCTTACGTGTTCTTTTATCTGATTTATTGTTTTTTTCTCGTTGAAGTAAAAGAAAAGCGATCGATGCATCGATGATGATTGCAGGATGAGAGAATAAAATGTCCGCTCCATACGTTATTATTTTTCTTTTTAAAAACGTCTAAACATGGCGGTGTTATTTTGATGATACCGAAAACAAAATTCGATATCTTTATTGCGGATCGAGCAAATGAGCTGATTTTTTCATAGATAGGAAAAAATTCAATATACCTAAAAAAAAGCATCCGTTTAGGCATATTATTATCATTAACTAAAAAGTCAGCTCGTTTGGTCGACTCGTAACAAATATATTCAATATTTTCTCGATATAATTACTTTTAGACTACTGTATATTCGTTCTCCTACAACTAAATTATTTGCATATAAGGTAAGCTTTTGAAACAATATCTTTTCATATTAGAAAAACAAGAATATAAACGGCATATTCGTTTCTTTGAAATTTGTATTCTAAATTTTCTACATTTTTCTTTAGTTGATCAGTGAGAAAAGTCTGATTTGGTCATAAATTTTTAATTCGTCTACGATGAATAAAGATCGATAAATTTTATTGATGAAAACTTCATAACATCATCCGCTACTTATTTTGAAAAAAAACTATGAATATTGACTTAATATGATTTGATCCTATATTTACGATTTCACATAGTGCATTGAAGAGATAATGCGATGATGATATATTTTTGTTTTATCATGGACATTTCGAGGCTTCAGATGGATACAATGTATAAGACTTTAAATATACCATCGAGAAAATATTTAATACATCTGTTTTCTTTTCGTTTCTATTCAATTAACGCATCCAAATGTCCATGATGAAACAAAAAATGTGTATCAGCTTGTCGAAGAATACAATCATTGCATTATTTTATTTTATCTATCAAATAACAAACATATGTGACAAACAAAGAATCGAGTCATATCAACTCAATATTCTATGAAAGTAATAGTTTCTCACTATTTTTAGTCTCATAAATAAAGAGTTTTAAGAAGTATGTAAAAAGTACATCTCTATTAAGCCTCTTGAGTCAACATTGATTTTTTGAAAAAATTTGCTAACAAGCTAGTTAATAGTGTAAAGTCTGTCAGATAAATGTACTATTTTTTCCTCCGTAGGATTTAGAAGAATGGAAAATTATCTTCGTTCTCGAGCAAAATCACAAAATGATATAGATTTATGTCATGCAAAACAAGAGTTGTCATTTAAGAATGAAAGAAGAAAAAGTTATTTATGGTGGTTAAAACATAGAAAGCTCTATGCTTATGATCAAGTTCCAAAACATTTACAAACAAATCCATTTATTATCAAAGGCTATCGGTATGATTTGTCGTGGTCTGAATGTATTTGCAGCTTCTTTCTTCTTCACAATGAAACACTTAATGTTTGGACACATTTCATTGGATTTGTATTATTCACGTTATATTTTCTTCGTGACTTTATCTCATCTAGAAATTATGATAACTTATTTACAGCTGAACATAGTACTGATTACTTGATGCTATTATTTTACGTCTTATCCGTTATAGCTTGTATGTTAGCGTCGACAATATTACACTTGCTTAGTGGATGTTCAGCAAAAACATATAGTGCATGTCTACAATTAGATCTTCTGGGTATTTGCATCGCGATGCTTGCATCATTTTTCATTGGTTATCATTTATTATTCAAATGTCATTTCTACACAAAAAGTTTCTACTTGTTAATAATCGTTCTTCTTATTACGAACGTTATAATACAACAAGTTTTAAAAAATGACGACAACGTTAGTAGTACAAATTTCATTGTTACTTCTTTAGTAGGTTTCATTCCTTTATTTCATTGGATTCATGTTTATGGATACAGCACGAGTGTTTTATATTTCTTCAGTAACATCATCATATTCTATCTATTATTTGGCGCTGGCTTCTTTTTTTATCAAACTAAAATTCCTGAACGATTTGCACCTGGATATTTTGATTATGTGGGAGCCAGTCATCAACTATGGCATATTTTTAGTCTCATTGCTTTTTATTGGTTTTATCATAATAGTATGGAAATGATCAAACATTATCAAACATATGCTTGTACTTTAGCTTTTATGGATGTTAGAGAATTGAACTAAAAACTGTTAAATGAATAGGAAAAAATCAATTTATCGTCAACTAGTATATTGGTGTGAAATCGATTGTATCGAATGAGCAAGAGTTATAAATGTTGTGTTTGTGTGAAAGAAATAAAGATATAGAGTTATTTTATTTTATATTCAAGGGTGTGTGTATGATATGATTAACATTAGTATTGGACTTGAATGTTCTATTATCTAACTAGCTAATTGCTATATTGTCACTTCATCAGTGGATGATATTTTATACTACTACGTTACCATTACTTTCTGTTTCAAGGACAATATTGTTTGTGATAAAGTTATCACAGGTGATATAGCAGTATATGAGAAAAAAGCTTAGCCAAACAGAAGAATGACAAATCATCATATTACTGCCGTTTTTTTTGTCACTTCATCATTTTATAACAATTTATTTTATATTATTCATTAGGATATTGTGCTCAACCATACTTCCCTGCTCAAATCGTATTTTCTCCAAATAATGGTCAAACAATATTTGCAATTGATGAAATAAATCAACGAGCATCTAAAACAATTGATTATGGTGATCAAGGACGACAAACATCATATGGGATGATAAATTCGTTGATTCAATTCCAAAAAATTGGGCTAGTACATGCCAAGATATTAATCTCGAACTTTCATTTATCCACAAATGCCAATAATAAAGTTAAATCAAAGTGGAGAACTTCAACTTTGGCTTCAATCACCTCCACATCGAATCAATGGAAATCAGCATACTGTCTTGATTGCTTGATATGAACACCACAACAGATTACCTTTAATAATGAAAATTTTCAAACAAAATAAATATCAACAATTACTCGTGTTAAAAATGCACTTCGCTCAGAAATTGTTGCGAATTTTACTGGTGAAGGTTACGATCTGATCCCACATAATACTTATTCTATCTATATTATGTAACTTTGTTTTGTGTTATATTTTCAAAATCATTTTTTTTTGAAATACTACGTCACAGAATTTCATTAGAAACCGAAAATCGCAATGTTCTGCTCTGCTTTATTATTGTTCATATATTTGGACCTATCTGAAATTATTACTAATAGGGAATATCTGTTTTCTTTTGTTTAAATCCTATTGCAATTGAGATTTTTGAAAAAAGGATGGAATTTCGTAATGGCTAATATTTTTAGTTTTTTCTTTGATGTCGTTATACTTTTGAAGATATTACTTGATATTCTGAAAGCTTGTAAAAAAAATATAAAAATGCTTCCATTTTTTAAAATTTTTTGAAATTTATTGATGATAGAGAAATAATCACACCCACACCCACATTGAGCTTTGAAAAGCAGTTGAAAAACGTGAGAGAAAGACATTTTAGGAGGATAAACGAGTTGCTTGTTATATTGTTTGATTTTGTTGTCACATGTGACTACTCGGCGTTCGTTTGCTGTCGAGAATAATGCTCACTTTTATAAATTTTTTCGTTCTATGTAAAAGAACTATAGTCGAAGGTTGAGTGCAATATAGTTATGATCGTAACACACAAATCCTTTCATTTTTTATCCTATTCTACTCTTGAAAAAGTTGACTTAAGCATCATTTACCTCACTAACTAAAAGCATCGATATCTTCTAATCGAAAGAACGAAAGAAAGAAAGAAAGAGAGAAAATTGAGAATAAATCTGTTTTAATTCATTCATCGCTCTAACAACGGACGTTGTCATGTTACCGTTTCTAATGTGAGCAGAACAAAAAGTGAACAGAAGAATTCATATATAATAGTTAACGAAGAATAAAACGTTGAAATCTTGATCAGTGAAAAATAAAAAAACCAGTATTAACTTTCAATTATGGTTGACGTAACTACTATACAACCTGGTACAGTTTTTGCGTGGTTCATGTTGTTCATGGTACTTCGACGCGTCGTATTGTTAGCCGTTGCTGGTATTGCAAGACGTGGTAAGTCTTTACCTCCTGGTCGAGTTCCCGAAGATTACAGATCTAGAGGAAAACCCGTTGAAACTACAACAACACCAGCATCTAATCCAGCCGATTTTCCGCCGAATGTACGTGTCAATAAAACAATTGGCAATGATACAGAAAATGATACTTACTTTTTAATCTTACTCTTAGCAACAGCTGTCTTCTCTGATAGTGCTAATGGAAATGTTATTCGAACAATAGTCTATGGTACTATTTATTTATTCGCTCGCATTTGTTTTGCAATAACTTATATCATGGGTTTACAGCCCTGGAGAAGCTTTTGTTTTGGTCTCGGTCTGGCCTGCACATTGGCCTGTAGTTTAGATCTTGTTATCACCATGTCACGACGACCAAATTAAACCAATGAACACTCCTATTTTATTAATAATACATTTTTATTCTAATCAAGCATCCACCGAAATATAATATTTTTTTTTGTAATCTAACGCTTTATCTTTATCACAATATGTTCTTGTAAAAGTGTGTTATAAATATCTAATTCTTAATATATATTGTTGAGGGTCTGAGGATGTCGGTGAATGTGGTGATGAGTGTGAATGTAAGTATTGAAAGAACGATAATATTTGCTGCCACTGAATGGAACAGCAATACATAGGAAGCATCAATACGGTAAACAAGTGATTCGCTAAAAATTCTATTATTTCTTCTTTTTGATTGCGAACATGAAGATATAAAACTTTTGATTAGATTTTTATGAAATCTTACGAAATCTTTAATGTCATCCAAAATACTCGATCTGCTAAGAATTTTTTTCATACAAAATATCTATTAGATGACCATACGAATTATAATAAATCTCGTTGAAACGTTCTACTCACCTTTAATGATATACTACGTTGGTCTATAGCATTATCATGTCGTTAACGACAAAAAATCATTTCATCCAGTTTCAGTCTGCCTAATATATTGAACTCTCTGTTAGACTTTAAGTATTTTCTTACTTTTTGTCTGCATTCGTACATTGTACTCTATATCTTACATCCTCTACAAATTGCAGCAATTCTATTCAAATCTCTCATTACTTTTGAAAATATTTTCATGATCTTCTTTAAAACTTCTTATGTATTTAATTGAAAACTTTTTATTAAATTTAAACTTCATTTTATGTATGTACGCAAATGAGAAATAGCTGATGCAATAGGTATGTGATTATACAAACGAAGAAGTATATAATTTATCATGTAGGCTTTATTTGCTTGTAAAGAGAAAGAAAAACTTACACGAGCTGCATAGTGTGACAACGATTTTTGCTTTCTATACTTTAACATCGGTCAAAGGTAAACTATATGAAGTAAAGGAAGTTAAAAACGATGAATGTGATAAATTACACCTTCTCCGTTATAAAACTACCACGAAGTCATTGGTGAAAATATTATCGGTCGAGTTAATCTTCAACCAATGTCTGTAGGTGACAGAATTGTACAATAAATTAACATTGGATGATAGTTTACGATTTTACGAGGATATTCACCCGGACGAAATTTGTGAATTAAGACGAATGGCTGTGCTATCCCGATATCAAAATCAACACATTGGTCGAAAACTACTACAGACATTTATTGACTTTGCACGTAAACAAGACTATCAAGCTATCCATTTAACAACAGGTATTGTTATGAAAAAAGCTTGTAGTTTTTATGAACGATGCGGTTTTAAACGTGATCAAATTTTTCGTTATACTATAGACTTTAACGAATTAATTAGTAAAGATAAGAAGAATATTGCTGTTGACAGCAAGAAGACAGATAAGATGACGGCATTCTTCGGTACACCAGTCGTGTTCAATACTCTGAATGATTTAACTGATGATAATTGGGAACAAATTAATCAACCGAAGATGATATTACAAATGAAATGAAAATATTTTTATGTACAAAATTTTTGGATGAAATTATAATATTTCTCATGTACTTTGGAGGAGACTTTCTTTTTTTAGAATTTTCGTTTTTTAAATACTTATGAACAAAACTTGATTTTCCAATTGTATTGGTTGTCTAAGTTGATTCTTTAGAATGAAAGTTCATTTTACTTATTTTCAGAAGAAATACAAAACTGAAGGGAAGTATTTTCTAGAATAAGCCTAAAGGGAAACAGTGGACTTCAAAGACTTCATAAAACTTTCGATGATTCCATGAAATCTTAGAAGCTAAATAAAATTTCTGCTATCAATGGGCGTGGGTGTGAATTGCAATCATAGACACCCACACCCACACCCACACCCACACCCTCAAGATAAAATGATTCAATAATCAAAATAGTTATTTTCCTTTTTTTATTTTGAATAATTATTGTTGTGTGTTTCCATTAGAACATGTCAAATGAATATAGGATTAAACTCAAATTAAAAGCATATAAATAAAGATTAAACTGACATTGAAAGCGCATAAATAAAGATTAAATTGAATTTTTAGAAAACAAAATATAAATGAATTGTCTTTTTTTTATGCAGTCTACATGATTTAATTATGGTTCGACGTTTCTCACGTTCATATAATTGAAGCTAATTTTCCATCTCCGGTGTTACTGTATTCTGTCTTCTTTTGCATCTTCGAATCAAACTCATAATCAATGTAACCATTCGTGGTACAAGTAATTTTAATACTGTCATCAAACCACCAATTAATCCAATGATTGTAGTAATTATATAAATGGCATTATTCTTTGTTTGATGAGTGTAAGTACATTGTAATGGTCGA